TCTATCACTTTCGTATAATAAATTCCTATTGAAAAGTGATATTTATTCATGTAACAATACATTCGCATTAAAAAAATCGCCTAATTGTTTTTATTATGGGTCTACATATATGTTTGATTTAATTAGTTGACCGACCACCCCAGCGCGCACCTCGAAGAGCAAGTATCAGATAAATATCGGGATACAAAACTCCTGACATGCACCTGATACTTATTCATTTTAACAATCGGATTACAGAATTAATACTTTATCTCGAAATAACGCCCATGGGCGTATTCGATATAACGCGCACGTAGTCAAAATAGCGCGCAGATGCCCGCTATTTCGAGAATTTACGGTATTTACTGCAATTTTATTTGAAGTCAAGCAAATCAGAGTGCATTAGAGCAAATTTTAATTTAAGAAATTAGGAATTAATAACAAGGTACGTATGTACTTCAGTACTTATTTTTGATTATGTTTGGTCGATCTACGCACAATACCCACATGGACAATACATATATTACCTGCAGGCAATGCTTAACGTTAAAATTTTTACGCTATTACAGTATTATGTCACTATCACAAACTTTATATGTGTACCCCGCGTAGATTTAGTGACCACATCCACGTGATGAATAAACATTTTATAATGTGATATTGGATATTTAAAAAATAAGTTGCATTTTAGTTTACGAACAAATTATATATTTTTCTTTTTTAATTACAAAGTTTTATCAAGCTACATGCTTATATAAACTGACATGTAAAAAACACATTCATAAAAAAAATTGAAGGTATATATCGTATATAATTGAAAATTTATAAGTGTTGATTTTTATACGCTAATCTCCGTACAGTTTCCAATGGATATTATAACTTGAAGGATCTTGATCATCGCGATAAGTCCACCTTTGGATTGAATCAACAGTGATTTGACAATCGGGATGATTTTCGTTCCACCATGCGACGAACTTTTCAGGAGTAGTAAGTCCTCTTGCCTTGAGGTTGAACATGTACTTGCGGTCAGGAAATATGTGGTCGATCTTATAATGTGTCTTGAGAGAAACTAAATGTTAGAATAAAATGCAAATAATTAGTAATTTTTTAGCATGTTGTTGAATCAGAATCGGTCAGCTACGCACGGATGCTAATCTTAATTGTTAATGCTCTAGACTCTTCAGAATCACTATCCTCATCGTCGGGCGAATAGTAGGACAAATCATTTTCTAAAAGAAAATCTGTTAAATATTTGTCGTTGTAAAAAAAAGGGTTGTGCTCTCAATACCTTATTTCTGGCTCTTGTTATTTGAGTTAGCGACATCAGAGTAACTTTCTTCCCAAGAAAATTTTTTTTGACCAGTTTTAACGGAAGCATTTTGAGCTTGGGCGGTATTCATTATTCTTAGTAATAATTATTTCGCAGTTCTTGATTATTTTTCAGTAACTATAAAGCGAATATCTTCAGAACACATTACCAAGAATTATAGTACTCAGGAACCACGTTTGAGAAATAGATAAAATGTTACTGTAATTCCCACGTCCGCATCTGACACTAATGTGTTTGACTATTTGCCGATCTACAGTACGTAAATTGTGCGATTATTACTATATTTCGATTATTAATCATAGTACGTCCGTATTGTAAGTACGTATGCACCCTAAAATTCTAGGGTATGAACAGTATCTGCAGTATTAGTCACAATGATTTAATAGCAACAAGAGGATGCCATTCTTCAATGTGTGCTAGGTTGGTGGCGTATAACTTTGCAGAAACCTTTGATTTTGCTAAATATATTTACTATATAATAAGAATATAATTAAAATATAATTAAAATAT